GCATTCCTGGCTGTTGCTGCCCCTTCATTGCCTTGTTTTCTGGGGATCACTGCCCTGTTCTTGAGGTAACTTGCATGACTAGTTTTGTAGTGGCATCACTGTTATGCATTAGGTGGTCACTGATTTGAATAAGAGAAATTCTTTATAGGTTGCGATTTGGAGCATTATTTACTTTATTGCTACTTGTGTTTGTGGGTGTGGCTTCAGTTGCAGTCAAAAGACTCAAAACAATGGGTTTCATTTAGGTTTTCGTGGTCTTGGTGAAAATTATGGAACTTCATATTTACTTGAATACAATCTTTGTAACATGCATCTCAGAACTTTTAATAATCTGCATTTTAACTGGTCTTATTAGTTGTATGGTTATATCCTATTATTTTTGTAGAAATTTAATGTATAAAGAGAAAAAGAGAATTGTATTATTGATTGATGTTTGTAATTGTTGAATTATTGAATGCTACAATGATTCCTATATATAGAAGAGTAGGTGGTAGTAGGTGGTAGATGGAGTAGGTAAAGTGGAGGTGGTAGGTGGAGTAGGTGAAGTGGAGGTGGTAGTGGTGTAGTGGGTTTAGTGGAGTAGGTGAGGTGGTAGTGGTGTAGTGGGTTAGGTTTAGTGGGTGAAGTAGGTGATAGGTTTTAACAGGTCTCTTACAAATTAACCAACTTGTAACAGAGGGGAGAGCTAGTCCAAATTGTTGAGGTGAAGGATTGTATGAAGTAATTGCTTGACTTGTTGGAGAACCTTTATCCGTATTTATCAAAATTAGCATGGCAACAAATTACAAACTCCAACCCAGAAAGAACAAAGTTGCTTAATACTAATTTGCATGCACCAGTTTTAGAACATGAGTTATGTAGAACTTAGTCCAAACTATTCAGAAATACCATGATACTAGTCTAAGAGAAGTCATACAAATTAACAATCATTGCATGGAAAAAGTGTTGCTTAGTCAGGATGATGCAACCTTCGGGATTGATACACATCCCTTCCAATTAATGACAGCTAATGCATCCACAAATAAAGAGACAAGTTGACCTGACGAAACCAAGAAACAGAGACACAAAATGGGGGCTTGGAGATCCTTCTACCCTCTTTCTGAACTTAAAAGAGCCATTTATGGTATCGTACTTCCAGATGCGGAATGAACAATTATTACTTCAACAAAGCATTAGTTTTCTTACTTCCCCACAAAGGCTAGAAACTAAATCGACTAGGTAGCGGATCCTTTAGCTGTGACTCATACCAAAACGTTTGTGCCCTTTCTCCTTTCCAACTTTTGAATTTTGTCCCTCTGATCTGATTGTAAAATGGACAGAGCTATAAAGACAGCTGCTTAGTAGGCATTTTCCCATCTGCTGATAATGTGAGACATGTACAGAATATTCTGTGTGATTGTGTAATTAAACAATACAAGTGAAAATGGCATGCTATATTAAAAACTATAAAAGGAAGTGGACTTGCAGAAACACGTCCAAACTAATATAAAATACAAAAAACAACAACGCCCAATTAGTACACATTAATGTGTGTTTGGGAGGGAAAAAATTGGGTACACTTCCAAACTGATATAAAATACAAAATATAAAAAATTGAACATATACATAAACACTCACTTTCTCTGAAATGTTGGAAATGACGATAAGGCAGCTGATCAAACCAATCATGAAACCCAGTGAAGGTCATGAGGCAAGTAGTCAAATTTAAAAGAGACAGGCAGAAAAATTACCTAGTGGTACCAACTAAAACAGGACGACCTTGTCTAAACATACTCTCAACTTCTTCACGAACATGTTCCCATTTACCTCGTGCAGTCTAAGTCAGCACAGAACCAAAAGTACGTGTCAGATCAAAAGAAGAACAAATACTATAGGAAGGTAGAAATATTAATTATAATGGCCTTCAAATACTGCTCTTCTACCGCAAAAGCTTGGATAGGTAAATCCTTGCGAATATTTGGCAGATTTGTTGGCACTTCAATAACTGGAATCTGGAACATTTTCAAGAACTCTTTCTCCTGCAACAATGAGATGGGAACATTTTTGCAAACTAATTGTGTTAGAAAGTGATCATTTAGCAAAAATATTCTTTAAAATATTTAAACACCATCTCAGAATCCACAAAGAAGTCCATACTTCAGTTTTTGCAGTCCCAGTCATCCCTGACAGCTTCGGATAGAGCTTAAATAGTGATTGATATGTGATTTGTGCCACAACAACTGAATCAGCCTAACAAGTGTAAGGATATAGCTTTGAGTACAATAAGCAAGAAAGTTTTGATGTAAAAGAAAAACTCTGTAAAGATTGAAACCTCAAGAGATACCTCAATTTTGACACCTTCTTTGGCCTCTACAGCTTGATGAATCCCCTCAGACCATCTCCTTTTCTCTTCAACTCTCCCTGTCAACTGCAGAAATGTTTTGGGGTCATTATTTTATAAAATTATTCATTTTTTTCATTTTTGATATACCCATAGTTGTTTTTTTTTTTATCACAAATTGAAATCTAAGTTCATTAAACCTGCAAAACAAGGTTATACCAGCCTCTTCATCAGCATCAGCATCATTGTAAATTTTTTACCAAGCTTATTTTAATTGCTTGTTCAAGCAAAAATGTTCCTATATTTGACAAGAAATAATAAACTAAAACATAGTACTTTAGATAGCAAGTGTGTTTAAGCAAGGATTGAGGATCCTGCAACAAACTAAACCTCAACTTGCAAAATATACCTAAAAATTACTTAAATTTATATGATGTGCCAACAATGTTCACGTACCAATTCCAGTTGAACACCACCTAGCTCAAGCTCGGCTTATTATCGAAACAAACTTCCGAGTTGCAATCGAAATTGACTCAACTAAATTAATGAACAAGCTTAAGCAAGCTTCAACCCAGCAAAACTCAAGCTGCTCGCAAGCAGCTCAGTTCCTTTAACAGCCCTAACTGGAGATTGTTCCTAATCACTAAGGTCCAAGGCTTAAGGCACCGCATACACCAACCTCAGCCAGCATGGCCCAAAAACCCACAGAACAAGATTAAGAGTATAGAATAGAGGGTGACGCAGGTGGAGACAAATGAGTGTCTGAATAGATGACATGCCACCACATGAGACTAAAATGGCGGCACAAGGGTGTGAAATGGAGACATCCTGATGTTAATGCGGCATGCCACATGGAGAGTGGGACCCATGTAGTCAAAGGATGTTTCAACCATCTTTGACCAGTTGATTTATTGCCAGCCAACTAGAGTAAAATAATTTCCCTGCATAATTAATATAACTTCCATGTAAAAGTAGTGGTCTGGTGATCAAGTCCGCAATCTAGAATGTAAGCTCCTTTGGACAGCAATAAAACACCAGCCTTTCTGATACTATTTGTTTCTTTATCCAACTCTCTGACCATGATTTTGATATTATATTTGAGCTGCAATTATGATCCACAAGGAAAGATTCTAGTCATAGAAGGGGCAGAATTTATATACGGACTCACGGGAGTCTCTAAGTGCTCAGGCATTGAATCAATATTAGATTGGATGGGAAATTGGCTTTTTTTTTTTATAGAAAAAGTGCAAAAAGAAATTCTTTTTTTTCAAAAAACCCCTAGTCAGGTAAAGAATATAATAGATTGCCTCCCAACTGTTTCAAAGAGACAATAGCGAGACCGTATAAATTAGATCAAATGGGAAATAGAGGTATGGAATAGATAGTGATCTACCTTTTTCTGCATTCACTCACACTGAATTTCCCACGCCCTTCAAAATATCCACTATTGAAGAGAATCCACAAAAATGAAATCCATTACTCCCTTTCTTTAATAGCTTGATATACATTGTTGGACCCATTTCCTAGCAGCTTAGGCATTTGAGAAAATTGTTAACTTAATATAGTATCAAAGCTCTGGTTAAGAGAGGTCTTGGGTTCAAGTCTCTCCATTAGTATTTTGTATTATGTCCCCATTTGGTTTCTTCTTCTCTGTTTAGTTGATTGTTTCTCTTTTTGTTTGGTTCTTTGTTTGTCTCTCCATGTGCAAGACGGGGTTGCACATGAGGGAGGGTGTTAGGTAGCTTGATATACATTGTCGGTCCCATATCCTAACACTTTAGGTTTTTGAGAAAATTGGTAACGAAACACCTTTTACACATTGAAACTAAAATTCCCTTTTGAGTAACCAATCGTATTAGTTATGATTGAAACCTGACTAGGCAAAAACCCATAGGGCAAAGACTATCCTTTTCCAATACCATTCCTCCATTACCATGAAATAATCAATGACATAGAGGGTACAGCTATGAGAGCTTCACAATCTGGTAGGAAGATTGCTTTGTTCAAATTAACTGAACTCCCAAAGATGATGATCAAGGCTTTGAAATCTCAGAGGGATAGGGGTTCTTTGGGCAGTCTAAGAGGGGATTCGAGTATATGTAGTGTTGAAGCCTGCTGAATAGGGAACAGTTTCATAGAGATGAGGGTGTCTGGTTTGAGAGGAAAGGACATGATAAGCATAGCAGAGTCTGATTTTGAAGAAAGATAGGCTGGTTTTGCAAGGGTGTTGAGGGATTTTGAACTGGGTGAGTAGCCAAGAAAGAAGAGTTAAAGAGTCAAATGATATTGTTTCTGCAAGAGGTGAAAATATAGCAATGGCCAAACGCAACGGTGGATCCATAAATTTTGCAATGAGGGGGCCAATATATATTTATATAGATTTTAAAGGGGCCAAAGTAAAATTACATAAATTTTGAGGTGGTCTTCACCTCTGCTAAAAGTGTGGTGGCTTATTTGGGTCGATGTTTAGTGGGTCGTCTGGGCAACACTTCCTTCTAACTTTCTTCATATTAACAAAACATACTTTGTTTAAACAGAAAATATTAGCCATTGTCAAGTATATGCTACTCTGACAATGTTTTGCAGAATGGAAAGTAAAATCACACATGAATATACAGATGCAAATACAAAGCAATAAAGTAATACATGATTAAAGCAATAGGGAAGTGATAACAATATAAAATGCACATAATACCTCATTGATAATGAGAGCCTTCCCATTTCTAACAATATATTGGACATCCCGCCGATAGAACTCTTTAGCCTTCAAAGCATTCATAACAAATCTGCAATATTTCAATGCCAACTACAAAGTTGAAAATTTGAAGAAGGAAGAATAGTGTCTAAAAACTATATTGACTTAATCCACTTAACCTGTCTATGGATGGTCAACCGAACAAATTAAGTTTAAGAGTAGTTTGAGATAGCCCAAACGATAGAGACAAAAACAATAATGAGGAGGAGGAGGAGGAGGAGTTTTAAGTAACACAGCCCACCTCAACATTTCCAATTTCCTGTATTTTCATAATCGTAGTGCCCCTAGTAATTCTCGTTTTTTTTAGTTACCTTCTTAATAGAAGGAACATTATATATATATATATATGAAAGAAAACTGCAGCATAAATGTTGACCAGCTTCATCACTTCTGTCACCAGACTCACCACTAAGGCCAAGTTTGGCATCCTCCAAAAAATCTAAAAAGTCAAAAAGTCACTATCCTATTTAAGTCACATCATCTTATTTAAGTCACATCACCTCTCTAACACATCACTTCAAACCCAACCCAAATCCAACCCATATTTCATAAAAAGTCAAAAAGTACACTTATTTAGTCTTCCCAAACTTGGCCTAAAAATAGTATTGCTAAATGACAACAATAGCAGGGAAAGCCATATTCACCTAGCCCAAGGATCATTTTCATCCCACAGATCATGTGTTTCTAGAGCCATCTCAGCCAGTGCAATCCCCTCTTCAGTCAACTCCACTGAATTATCCTTGAGCTCCACAGTGTAATGCTGTTAACATAATTGACAAATTAAAGCAGATTAGTCTCGTTACATAAAATAATGTTTAACAGAATAACTGTGCAATAGATTACAGAACAGTTGAAACAACAGAATGTAAAATGAAGAAAATTGCACTCACAAGGTCCCGTACAAGCAGCTCAGCAACTTTTGCAGCAACTGGATATCGTGCAGCATCTTTACTTGCCTTTTATATGGTAGGAAAAGTCGCAATAGCATCCAAACAGATATCACTAGTAGTTCAAAAAAATTGCAAATTACCTCGCCACTTATCAATAGAGGATTTCTCCCTTCATCAATGAGGACTGAATCAACTTCATCAACTATTGCAAAATTAAATGGCTTGGGCCTGTTGTTTGCCACACTAGTTAGTTCAAATAAACAACTACATGGACAAACTCCACAGGGTTCAGAATAGTTCAATGTAAGACTAAATACAAAATTCGCAAAAGATTTGAATATTTACCATCTCATCACAAGTTGTTCGCTGCTTCCAGAAAGATTATCTCGGAGATAATCAAAACCTAGTTCCTTAGGCAATTAACACAACAGAAAGAAACAAAACAGGAGATGCAGTGTTGATGAGTTAACAACAACCACACAAGTGAATGTCAACAAAGCTGCCAAGCAAGTATCACCTATGAAGCATGGACACCTCTCCAGAGGTCGCGTACAGGAGTCAGACACGTGTTGGACACGGACACATGCTGAAAAAGCTCAGGACACGTGTCGGACACGTAGGGACACTTTGTACACGCTTTGGACACGTTGGAACACGCTAAGGACATGCAAGTGACATGCTAGGGACACACTAAGTGCTATTTTTTTCAAAAAAAACTATAATTTTAATTTTTTTTTTTTAAACTAAAATAGCATACTTAGATAAATTTGCTAAAATTAAATATTTGACATAAAATACATATTCAATATTTAAAAATATACATACGATAAAAATATAAAGATATATGTTTTGAACGTGCCCCCAACGTGTTGTGTCCTGCATTTTTTGAAAATTTACATGTCCATGTGTCCATGTCGCGTCACGTGTCTGTGTCCGTGCTTCTTAAAGTATCACAAATCCAATTGCAAATACTAGCATCAAAAAATCAACCAGGGGGAAATTACAACATGACATTGAATCCGACTTACCGAATTATTGGTGTAAGTAATATCGCATTTGTAGTTAAATCTCCTTTCTTCAGCTTTCATCCCCCTCTAAAAGTTGAAAGAGTCAAAGATTGAGGATATAAAAAAGATGCAATACTAAATTTGTTTAATTAGTAATGACACTACGTGAAGTCAGCCTCAGGACCTCATGTCCCAGAATTACATCATTAGAAAGAAAGTTCTAATCTAGGGTTGTCAATGGATCAGATCCAGATCCGGTTTTGACCTGATTTGGTATGATTTTGTGGCAAATCACCTGATTTGGTATGATTTTGTGGCAAATCACCTGATTTGGTATGATTTTGTGGCAAATCACCTGATTTGGTATGATTTTGTGGCAAATCACCTGATTTGGTATGATTTTGTGGCAAATCACCTGATTTGGTATGATTTTGTGGCAAATCACCTGATTTGGTATGATTTTGTGGCAAATCACCTGATTTGGTATGATTTTGTGGCAAATCATGATCCATCCTTTGAAATGTAAATCCAATTATAATCTGATTGAACTCAATTCTATGAAGATTTGATCCAACAAATATGCTATTTTGATTTTTTTTTAAACATTATACAAGTAACATTGAAATATGTATCAAGACCAAAGTTTTAAAAGGCATTACTAAGGCTTGCCTCAATGCTTGCCTCGCCTCAAGGCTAAGGTAAAATGCATCAAGGCCTTGATTTTTAGGATTTACTCCTCAAAGGCTTACACATAACAGCTTGAGACACACGCCTTAGGTGCGCCTTGTATGCCTTTTACACATAAGCATATGAGAAGTATGCATATGAAGAGGTTACCTTAGGCTTTTATTAAACTTAGTAGGTGTTTGGGAAATTGCTATTTTAATAGGCTATTTTAGTAGGTTAAAATTTTTGTGTTTGGGAAGATGATTGGATTTTTTTGTAGTTGGATGTAATGTTTGTGGGAAAAAAAGTGAAATGATTATGGGTTTGATGTGACATTTTATCTAAATAGCTATTTTAGTCTATTTTGTCTTTTTGTGAATTTTAGCCTAAATTAGGCTAAAATCTCATTTCCCAAACACCCCTTTAATTTAGTAGATTGTTTAAACATAAAAAAGCAAAAAATAAAAAGAACTCCATTTTGCAACTGTATTCTAAAAAATAAAAAAAATAAATGACCAATCAAGAAAAAACACAGTTAATTCTCAAGTGAGAAGCTCGATTACTAAAACTAAATTTCAATTTTTGCATTGAAATATTTAACTACTTAAGGAGAAAAGTGTTTACACTTTTACATTTATTTATTTTTACTATTTTAAAATATTTAAATTATTCACTAAATATTAAAATTTAAAATTCAAAATGTTTACGCCTCACCTCATGAGGGGTAAAATGCCTCGAGTTACGCATTTGACTTTAAAAACTTTGATCAAGACCTTAATTTCAATAGGGCAAAATTCATTTTATTCCCTGTGATTTGAGGCTAGAGCACTTTACCTCCTTATGATTCAAATATAGCAAGAAAGCCCCCCATGTGGTTTGGACCAAAGTGCAATTATTAACACCGTTAACTATATATGTGAAATGACTGTAATACCTTCAAATTCTATACCTTTTTTGTTATTTTCTTTCTCTTATCTCTCATACACATAATTTATAATGTCTAATGTCTAACATTAATTCAATTAAATCACAATTACTTATAAATTCTTAATTATTTATTGTAATTCTTAACTTTTTTTATCTAATTTTAATTTAATTATGTTTCAAAACTCAATTAATCTTAAATTCTTAATTATTTACTATAATTCCTAACATGTTAATCTAATTTTAATTTAATTATATTTTAAATTAATTCTTAATTATTATTTATTATATATTTTTATTTAATTATATTTTATATTTTAGATCAATCCTTAATTATATTATATTTAATTTAATTAACATTTTAATCTAATTTAAGGTTTGGAGAACATAAGGGTAAAATTGTCTTTTTGTGTATTAATTTTACTTTAGTTTTCAGAAAACCAAATTCATTCTCAAAAATAGTATGTGTGATACACCTTCCGTTAGTTTGGATGGAAAACAATGACACTTTGAACCATAAAGGGTAAAGTGCTCCAGTCCCAAACCACCAGAGATAAAATGAATTTAACCCATTTCAATATTTGTCTCAGATTTGGATCGAAGTCAGATTTGGATCAAAGTCAGATTTGCAGATACTTCATTAGAAAACCAAACTTGGTCATAATTATATAGGATCAATAGAATTCGGATTCAAAATCCAAAGTCAGTATATGCATATATGTGTTGCTATATGTGTTTCTAATCCAACCTGTTGACAACCCTATTCTAGTCCAACAAAAGCGCCCAGAGGCAGGAGAGGGAGGGAGAACATAATTTGCAATTTTCTGTTAAGACCCACAGAAAATTACTTGGATAAGACCCACGGAAAGACCTAGGAAACGATGAACACGACCCATCCACTCAGCATCTCGTTGAGCTAGGTAATCATTAACAGTTACCACTGTAAAAGGAAAAAAATAAATCAGCAAACACAATCGCTGGATTAAACAATAAATGGCATCCTTCGTTACAACATGCCTCAAAGTAATACATGATAAACAAAACATCTTTACATCAAAAGGGAAAACCCGTGAATGGGCTAAGTGGACAAAAAACAAGGCAAAACACAATTCAAACACCAAAGAGTAAAGAAAAAATCAACAATGGATCAACAATTCGCACTTCCAAGAAACATGTTACATGTTAAAACATATGAAACATGTTACAAGGTTAAAAAATAAAAATAAAAATAAAAAAAACTTGATATCTAATGATAAAAGAAAAATAATGTAGATTTATAGTTACTAATTCCTCCTTTAGACTTTGGGAATTAATATTATGTTACATTTTTTTATTATATTTGAGCGAAATATTCATATATGTGGGACATAACAAATATATAAAACTATATATTTTGCATATGTAACCCACATATCATGTCTTGCATTTTTTTAGAATTGTCAATTGTTATAATAACTCCGCCGGGGTTGTTAACAACTCCGCCGGTTCCAAGCCCGGGTTAAGGAGGAGGGTTGTGTGTTAGGTAGCCGACAGCCAACACGTAAAAAAGCCGCTCGGATCCCTTATGAAAATGAATCCTACTTTGGTTGGTTGTCATTGTTATAATAGTCATATGTTATTATGTTATTATTTTATTAGTTGAGGGTACTATGGTCATATTGTAATATAACCATAGTATGGTACTATTACTGCTAGAGTAGGGTTAGAGAGGATACTATGGTCATATTGTAATATTGCTGCTGGAGTAGGGTTGATTTTCACGACTCTAAACCAATTAATCAAACCATCTTCTCTTCTCTCTCTCTTCCTCTCTAACCCTAACCCTAATATTCAACTTGTGCATTCTAACTTGGTATCAGAGCAGAGTTCCTGCCTTCTTGAGTGTTCATCAGAATCTAGAGATCATTGTGAGGTGACAGCAATGTGCTGATGTCATCATTCATACGATGACATCAGCGTGACATCATCATCCGTACAGACAAGTTGGGCTCTCAAGGATAGATTCTTCCTTCTAAGTTCAATGGTGATTTTTGTGGAATTTTTTGGAGCCATTTGATGTAAGTTTTGTATTTTTAAATGATTTTCGAATATTTTTGGTGAAAAATCGAAAATGCTGTTTCTACTCTACTTGTGTGAGTTCTACCTAGTGGGCTCATCTCTATAGGGGCTGAAAATCATCAAGGGGGTCTTCCTTGAGGTTTGTTTTGAGATTTGGTACTGTTTTGTTGGATTTTTGGTACTTTTTTGCCTCATTCCCTGTTCGGCATCTCTGGGTTTGGTCACAGACTTCTCTGTTTGGTGTTTTCTACTGTTATTTGGCTGCTTTGGCTGTGTTATTTGGCTGTTTTCTGCTGGTTTGGTCACTAACTTCTCTTACTTTAGCTGTGTTGCTATCATAGGTTTTATCTCTTATTTTGGCTGTGTTCCTGTTCCATTTTTTTTTTTTTTTTTTTTTTTTTGTTATGGGATGACTAGTGTGGAATTTTGTGGAACTTCCTCCTGCTATTGTGGAATTTTGTGTAGTGAGGACTCTTGTGTTATGGGATGACTAGTGTGGAATTTTGTGGAACTTCCTCCTGCTATTGTGGAATTTTGTGTAGTGAGGACTCTTGTGTTATGGGATGACTAGTGTGGAATTTTGTGGAACTTCCTCCTGCTATTGTGGAATTTTGTGTAGTGAGGACTCTTGTGTTATGGGATGGCTCTGGCATAGCTTGGAACCTCATGTTGCTACTACTGTGGAATTTTGGGACACCTCGAAGGAAATTTGGGACTCCCTTGTTAAGTCATTTTCAAATCAAAGTAGTGTCTCCTGGGTCTATGAGTTATATGAGCAAATTTTTGCTACTCGATAATCTGGCCGTTCTCTTTCGGATTATTACAGTGGCCTTAAGAATTTGTGAGATCAGTTATTACAACATAGACCTTTTACTACTGATTTAGCATAACAAAAGCGGAATTGGGAGGAGTTTATGATGGCCTCTTTACTTGTGGGCTTAGATTCTGATTTACAGGATTTCAAAGATCAGATCCTTGCTAGTGAGACGTTACCTTCCGTTGCTAATGCCCAAAGTTCTGAAAAGTGGTTGCGGTCGCCGTAACAGTGGCGGTGACGCATTTGCGGTTGCGGGGTGTAAAGGTCGTAGCGTAACGGTTGCAGTAACCGGAACCGTCAAAAACTTACCGATACACATATTTTTTTTCCATGATCATATTTATTAGGTTTAAAATAATTATTGATCAATTTTTGTAAATTTTTAAGTATGATCCAATATATTTCGTATTTTTAAATCACCATAAACTGAGTTTGTTACATTTTATTTTAATAATTAATGACTTTATATTATACAAAAAATCAATCACTAACCATAATATATAAGATAAACAATGACAAAAGTAAGAGAATAAATAAGAGCCTAAATATATATATATATACATTTTTTAACAAAGCCAAATAGATAATGACCACACTTATTATTATTATTATTATTATTATTATTATCAAACAATATATAGGTAGACACACACAAACAAAATGGTTGAGTGATAGCAGCTGAATAGAATAACATAGGTCTTACAACTTCAACAAATCAATAACATGTTCTTCATCTTCCCTCTTTTCTCTCTCTATCTCTGGCTCCTCCATCTTCTCTCTTCTCTCTATCCCTCTTCCCCTTATTTTTGGCTTTTTTTTTTTGTGTTTTTTTGAAAGAAGCAATTCGGAACTATTACGTAACGGTGCGTAACAGACCGTTACGGCACCGTTACGACCGCTATGGCAGCCGTTACGACCGACACATCTGTGAATCTCAATCAAACTGCAAAAGCTGCCGTAACGGGTAGCGGTAACCACCACAACCGTTACGTAACGGTGTTACCTAACGGTTGCGGCCGCTTTTTAAAACCTTGCTAATGCCTATTCTCGGCCATTGCACTATTCTTTGGGACAGGGTTCGCCTTCATCTGGTTCCGCTTCTCAAACTTTAGCCTCTTCTACGTTGATCTCTAGTAGTGGCGACCGTGGGTCCCGTGGAAGTTTTCAGGGCCACTCTAGTCATGGTGGCTCGCATACTAGTTTTCGTGGTTTTCGCGGTGGTCGTTCTTCTCATGGTTCTCATCGTGGTGGTGGGCATGGACATGGTTCTGCATCCCGTGGTGATCGGAAGTGTACTCAGTGTGGTTCCTTGGGTCATTCTGAGTGTTGGCGAAAGTATGGTAAACTTTATCATATAAATCAGGTTATGAATGCTCCATCCTCTCAGTCAACACATTTTCCCTCTGGCACATTTGCTTTCCCAGTTGATTCTCATGACGCACTCACTACTCAAATTAGCGAGCTTACTGAGCTAGTCTAGTCTCTTCGTACTGCTATCCCTTCATCCTCCACAACTACAATGGTTGGTTCAGGTAATCTTGCCTATGTGGCTCAATCTCCACAACCTTTGCTCATAGACTCTAATGCTAGTTCCTATATCTCCGATAATTCATCTCTTTTCCATACTCTTCATCTTGTTACACATAATATTATACTAGCTGATGGATCCTCCCGACCTATTAGTGGCAAAGGTATTCTTCAACCCACTCCATCCCTCTCCTTAACCTCTTGTCTTTATGTTCCTACTTTTTCATTTAATTTACTTTCTACTAGTCAATTGACTGAAGCTCTTCACTATTCCATAACATTTTCTCCCATTTTGTGTGTTTTGCAGGACCCCCAGACCAAGAGATGATTGGTTTAGGGCGTGAGAAGGATGGCTTATATTTTTCGGACACTGATAACCCATCTTGTTCTACTTCTATTGTTTTGAGTGCTACCATGTCTCCTCTGCAATGGCATTTTCACTTGGGTCATCCGTCTTTAACCAAGCTTAAGGTAGCCATTCCTGGCTTGAGTCATGTGTCTAAACTTGAGTGTGATGCTTGTCAACTTGGCAAGCACCACCGTAGTTCCTTTCCTAGTCGTAGTGTTAGTCGTGTGTCCGCGTCTTTTGATGTAATCCATACAGACATATGGGGTCCATCTCGGACTCCCACTATTAATGACTTTCTTTATTTTGTTATTTTTGTAAATGATTACTCTCAGATGACTTGGTTATTTTTACCAAAGCAGCGGTCTAAATTATCCCAAATAATTTCTAAGTTTTATAATGAAATCTTTACTCAGTTTGGGAAATGTATTAAAATATTCCGGTCTGATAATGTCTTAGAATATATGCAGTCTACTATAGATCTTTTTGTGCTAATTGTGGTATTATTATTCATCAGACTAGTTATGTTCAAACATCACCCCAAAATGGAGTTGCTGAGCAGAAACACCATCATTTGTTAGATGTTGCTCGCACATTGTTGTTTAACATGGACGTTCCCAAACAGTTTTGGGGTGATGATGTGCTCACTGCTTGCTCTCTTATTAACTGCATGCCCTCGGTTGTGTTACAAAACCAGTCTCCCTTCTCTCAGTTGTACCCTGATTGTTCCCCGTTTCCTCTTTCTCCTCTTATTTTTGGTTGTGTGGCTTTTGTCCATGTCCTTGATCTGAGCCTGGATAAGTTATCTCCTCATGCTCGTATGTGTTTTTAGGTCATTCTCGTACTCAAAAAGGTTACCGGTGTTATCACCCTAAGTCGCGTCAATTCTTTATCAGTGCTAATGTAACCTCTTTTGAGTCCACCCCGTTTTTTTCTTCATATGGTCAACAGTTGTCAATCGATCTTATATCTTGTCGTAAGGGGGAGCCAACTTCTTCCACGCCTTCTCTTCCAATGCCTTATGTCTCCTCATCCTCTATTTCACCCTCCACCAGTGTAGATCCCCCTTCTTCACCTCCATCACCTCTCCAAGTTTATCAGCGGCCCCAAAATCCTCGCCTTATTTCTTATGGTCCGAACAGTTCATCTTCTTTGTCAGAGGCTCATGGCCCTCCTACCATTCTGGACTCTGATAATTTTCCCATTGCTTTGCACC